AAATATGAACCTAAAATGCTCAGGTGTAATACAGCTTATAGATGTAGTATAGCTTACAGGTGTAAAAAGTAAATATGAACCTAAAATGCTCAGGTATAATACAGCTTGTAGCTATAGTATAGCTTACAGGTGTAAAAAGTAAATATGAACCTAAAATTCTATTCATTTTAGAGAATAAATGTTTTTGAGAAAAATGAAAGTCATCAGTAATATAGAAATTTTTATTTTTAAACATAAGCTCTGAGTAACTATAAAGGAAATTAAACCCCGAGGTATTATTTCTTTTCCTTTCTTTTATCTTTCATTAGCATGGTATTTTATTTAGAAAAATTGAGCTACTTAGTTAGTATGCTACTAAACAAAATAAGTCGTTTGATTCTTTTATCTACACGGTGTTGGGTTTTTGTTGCTGCTGTTGTTTGTTTTAAACTAGCTCGTGTGTCATAAATTAATTGAGTTTCAATTTTACTTTTCATCCTTTTAAAACCACTCAACCAGGATTTAGATCCGATGGGTAAGGGAGCTGATGGGTCTTTAAGCCGGTGACCCTTCTCTTCTTTCTAAATTAAAAGTGCTTCCCCTTTTGTTTGAGGAACACGGCATATACAAAAAAAAAAAATCCTGTATGTGGTTTCACGGTCCGTCGCATTAAACAGTGAGATTATTTCATTAAACTTACCCATCTAAGTGGCCCTGTTTTTTCTCTTTCCCCGCCCCCCCCCCACCTTCCCTCTTCCTCCCTTCTTCTCCCCCTCTCACCACTGGTCCTGAGGGGTTTATCTGTCCTGGGTTCCCTGTGTTTCCAGTTAACATTTGTACATTTTTTGCCCTCATCATTCTCAAAACATTTGCTTTCCACTTGCCCCTTCCATATCAGTTCTCCCCCTCCCCTCCTCCCTCCCTCACCTTCCTATTCCTACCACTAGCACCTGACCTCAACGCAATCTTCAAAGTCTTTTCCTTTGCTGTGAAAACTGTTTCTTCCTTTCTCTCATTCTTCTTTTCTTTGATAATAATAGTGTCATGAAGTATTTATGTTTATGACATTGACTAATTTTGCTGAGCATAGTGTCCTCTAGTTCTGTTCATGTCATGAGGTGTTCGACAGGCTCTTCATTGCTTCTGAAGGGTGCGTAATATTTCATTTTGTGTATGTACGAGAGTTGATCTATTCCTCCACGTATCAGAGTTTTTGATTGTTTCCATCATTTTGTTCTTTTAGAAATTGCTGTGAAACAAGGGTGTGCATATATCTATTTGTGCTTTGTTCTTATTTCTTTAGGGTACATATCAAGTAGAGAGATTGTGGGACCATGAGGTGTTTTTGTTTGCACTTGTTTGAGAAAGTGCAATACTGTTTTCCTAGTGGCAGTAAATTCTCAGTCCCACAAGTACACTGTACAGCAGTATGCATATCTGAGTGATATATGAGTATTCCAACCTCTCCATAGCCTCTCGACCATTTCTAATTTTCTCTTTTTGAAGCTTGCTAAGAGTGTTGGTATGAAGGGGTATTTAATCATTGTTCTAATTTGTATTTCTCCTAGAGTTAATTAATGAGAGAATTTCTTCATATGTTTATTGGCCACTTGGATGTCAACCTTATTAAATTGTCTATTGATGTTTTGTGCCATATTGAATTGTGTTTTTCTTATAGAGGAGTTGTATTTTTCTAAAGATATTTGAAATTAACCTTGATCTATCATTGCTGAATACTTTTCCCAAACTGTGGATTCTCTTTTTACTTTTTTTGATGAAGTCTTCAAATTGTGTTTATATATAGGTGTATATATGAATTATTAGCATTATTTTTGGTAAGATGTAGAGAAATCATTAGTATTGGCCTCAAGCTAGTTTATTTTATTGATGATATCAGCAAGTCATTTAGAAATTTATAGTAAGATGCCTCAGTTTGCGTATAATGGTCAGGGAGCATTCCAAAGTTGAGTTTGAAATTTTGTTGTGTCTTTAGGAATAATTTACATATAATAAATTAGGTGTTGAGCTGCTAACCACAACATCACTGGTTCAAACACACCAGGCTACCACTTCTGATAAAGGCTTACAGGCTTGGAAACCCTATAAAGGGCTATTTTCAGTTGAAATTATCTGAATGGCAGTGGGTTTTTGGTTTTGTTGTGTTGTGAATAAAAGGTAAATGGAGGAAGGGAAAGTGAGAGAGTGTGAGAGGGAGAGGTGTTTATTGACAGATATGTCATCAACATTAGCAATCGCCAATGTAAAAGAAGATACAACAATAGTGACAGTGGTAGCGATAATAAAAATACATTGTATGTGTGTAGTTTTCAGTCAACGGTGCTTGAGGCAATTGGTTGGCAACTTATAAGAAAATAGAGTTGGAGTCCTACTTCATAGTAAGTAAAAAATAATAGTCAATTTACTAAAATAAAATTGAAACAAGCAAAACAAATGAAAAAAGTCAATTTATTAAAACAAAGATTGAAACAAGCAAAACAAATGAAAAAACTTATAAACATTATGTCACATAAATATTGACAATTCTGTGCAGTATAATGACTAAAAAAGTAATTGCAATGATACATTATGTAAAATTAAAAAATAGTTACACTAAAAGGTGAAAAATTAAGATCCTTAATAAATAAATATCACTTACAATATAATAGAAAAATTTAACAACCTGATGAAATGAACAAAAAAAGATAATAGTTGATAAACATAATGAAAGGATATCCCTCATCACTTATAATCAGGAAATAGCAGATTCATTAAAATATTATAGTTCATCTACCAGATTAGCAAAAATCAAAAGGTTGATAACAGTTAGGCCTTCTGAGACTATCACTGTCATAACTGAGACTGAAGATGTACAAGATTTTGAATTGGTAATTTAACAATATCTATTAAGAAATTGCAAGCACCATTATGCAATTTGTGTTGTCCTGAAGTGTAGCAGAATGGTACGTAAACATGGATTTATGTACCAGTATATCCTAACTTTTAAAATAGCAGCACTGTTTCCTAGACACATGCCTAACTTGTGAACTTCCTTGCCTCCTAGACTTTGCCCTGTTGTCCTGGGATTTAATCAGTCAGGCTATGTCTCTGTGCAATATTTTTGTGGTAGTTTGGAACATATTCCTTTTTGTTGTTGTTAAGCTTGTGTGTGTGCTTGTGTGTGTACATGTGAGTTTAATTCCTGTCTTCTGGATTCTTAATATGACCTAATTTATGTTCCACAACGACATTAGTGTGCACGGTGGAATGACAAGCGTATTCCTCACATGCAGTTTCCTTGAGCACACTGTACAATGTAACCCTGCTGCTCATCTCAACCTAATTGCTTACAACCCTTTTTCTCTATGTGCCCAAATAAATATATGTATGCTTTAATCCAGACATCTGTTTGACTATATTTCACAGATCAGTGCTTTGTATCACTGTTCTTTTTATTTATACGTTCAGTCTTCTTCCCTTAAAGAAGGAAGAATTAAAAGAAGTCAAATATTTTTTCACTTTGTCAACCTTTTAAAATTATTATTACTAACTTTAAAGTCTCTTACTTGGTTTAATGATTATAACATTATAAAAATATATATTTAAGTGTTACTCTAACTGTGTTTGTATGACCGGTTTATCACACAAAAGATATTAATTCATTTGATTGCTTCTTTAGGAAACCATTTATTATTGTGTGTCTTTAGGGTTTTTCCAAATCAATTTGTTCTAGATTTTAAAATGTGTGCCCCCCAAAATCCCTAATCACTGACACCCACTCGATTCCAACTCATAGTGACCTATCGGACTGGTCGACCTGCTCCTGTGATGTTCTGAGACTGTCACTCTCTAAGCCGCATCTTTCTCCTGGAAACTGGGGGTTTACATTGCTGGCTTTGTGGTTAGTAGCCCAGCATATCACCACTACACCACCAGGGCTCCTCTGTCAGGTGGCATCTAATTCCAGTTGTTTGTCTCCTAGTGTCTTCAATTTTAACCCTTTAAGATGGATACTTCTTTCCTTCCCTCATACTCAGGGATTTTTTTCCCCATTTACCTAAAACCCACTGCTGTGCAGTGGCTTCTGATTCAATCTTAGTCCATATGCTACACAATGTAATTTCTCAGGATTGTCTTGGCTGTAACCTTAATGGACACATTTTCCTAGCATCTGTCTTCCATGGTACCACGTGGTCGATTGGAACTGCCAAACTTCATATTAGTATTCAAAACACTCACCACCATTGAGCCAATTCTGAGGAATAGCGACCCTATTGGGACTAAGCACCTGTAGATTTCCCACTAGCCTCCCCTTCCTTCTTCCCTCCACAAACATGTGCCAACTATGCCCTTAATTTAAATGCTCTGTGATGAACAGGACCCCTTGGTATGAGTGTATCTGGTGCATGTGAGCTAAGGTGGGTTTA